TATATTCAGCCTATCCTCAGGGGAACACACCAAGTTCTAGTGACCATGCGATGTACCATTCCGTGCTTGTTGGGGTATGTGTAGACGAATTACAAAACTAAAGACATATTGGCTTTACAGTGACACATATTGTCACGTAAAAAATCTTTCAAATGGACTTAGTTATGGGTTTATTTCTACATCAAAACAACGTTACTAAAAGCTGATGACCAAGTGCGTTTCCTAATCACCCAATATCTACCCAAATACCTGTAAACACTTCTTTAAATCCTATTTTTAAGTAAATATGTAGCGTCTGGCAATCGGTTTTTAGCAGACCACATGAAATATATGTTGTTTCGTCCCTGTCTTTTTTCTTTTCCACACGTTGCCCTATAAACATCAATAGAAAGTTGAATGGTCATTCGGCAGCCATGAATTTCCTTAACGGAAGACTACATAAATCTAACACATTCCATAACAAATGTTTCAACTCCAATTATATTGAAGGTGATGACTTTCAACCTCACTGGTATCCATATCAAATCTAATTTTCATCTGAATGTAGGCCACGTAAACATTAATGGTCGTTCATCTACATAATTGTCCGTAACCATAGATAGGAATGATTTGCAACTGTGACAATTTTTTAGAGAATTAATTTCATTCACTTCTACTTGTTTGTATTTTGGGTTGAATCTGTATCGGTCACTTCTGGGAATTTTTTTACATTCAACCGTTTTGGAATCAATAAATCTGATAAACATCTTTGTTACTGTATTCGTACAACTTCCCACATTTCTCCGACGTAAAGAAGCTGGTTTTTAGCAGAAAACCATGTCTTAGAGATTTCTTAGATTGCTACTGACATGTGGAACAAACTCAGCGTACGTGCTCTCCCGAGGTCATAGTTCTCACCAGCCGCTCCACAAATCTACTTCGTAACAACTATAAGCTTAAAAAGCTGAATTACATATATACTTCGCTTCTCGGCTCTCTGAGCTAAGATCATGTGTAGTATCTGTTCTTTGCAGTGTAATTTCTGCAACGGTCTCTAAACTGAGACCAATGAAATTACCTGTATTTTTCACTTCCGGACGGGTGCTGTGAGCTTGCTCAACCCCGTCCACGGGTCGGCCTCGTATTGCATTGCCTCGAGGATTGGCCCATTATTTTTTTGCGGTGGATAGATGGACAACCATCCTTGATCGCAAGGGGAAGGTTGACGTCATCTACCTGAACTTCTCAAAAGCTTTTGATAGGGTCAACCATGCATGTCTTATCAAGAAGCTTAGACGATTGGGTATAAAACCCCCTTTAATTGACTGGATCACTTCATACCTAGAAAACCGACATTTTAAGGTCAGGGTTGACTTCACTCTCTCTCAGGCTATGGAATGTCCTAGTGGGGTCCCCCAGGGTTCAATACTAGGACCTCTTCTCTTCTTGATTTATATTAACGATCTTCCTCAACAAGTTTCATCTGACTTATTGCTTTTTGCTGATGATGTGAAACTTTGGAGAGAGATACGTAATCATAATGATAAGCTAGTTCTTCAGGAGGATCTGACTCGACTTCAAAGTTGGGCAGACGACAACGGACTTACCTTCAACACTTCAAAGTGCAAGGTAGTTCATCTGAGACATGTTGCAGACTATAGTTATAACTTAGGTAACTCACCTCTAGAAGTTTCCCAAGTTGAAAAAGATTTAGGAGTGTTGGTACCCTACAACCTGAAATCGTATGCGAACTGTGACAAAAACGCCTCTCAAGCAAACTTTGCACTGGTAACATTGAAGCGCATTTTTGGCCAGTTTGACCGTAGAACCTTCCACATAATCTTCAACAGTTTTATTCGTCCCCACTTAGAGTACGGAAACATAGTATTTCCTCCCTCCCTCCAAAAGGATAAGGTCACTCTGGAACGTATACAACGTCGAGCCACGAAATCAGTTCGGGGTCTCAAATTCAAACCTTATGAAGAGCGCCTCAAATCACTTAACCTTTACCCGTTAGAGTATAGGCGTCTTAGAGGTGATCTTCTTATGACTTATAGTATCCTTAATACTTTTGGTCATCCCCTTAAACAGCTTCTTAAGCTTAGTCATAACACTAACGTAAGAGGTAACACCCAGAAATTGGAGACCCTACATAGCAGAACAGACTGCAGACACAACTTCTACTCCGTTAGAGTTGTCAAGTGCTGGAATTCGCTGCCGACTGAGCTAGTCCAAGCGACCTCCCAGGAGTCCTTTAAGAGAAAACTTGACTTATTCTTAAGGACTAAGGATAACATATTATTATGATTTACCAAATTCTTTTTCCCTCTATTATCGCTCATATACCTAGGTTCTTGCCTGGAGGTATTGGTGATCCACTGCTACCAGACACGGAAGCCCATTAAGCGAAAGCTTCTTCTATTCCGTCCTCAACCATTTGAACCATTTGAACTCAGCACGACCGAAGTCCTAATACAATTTTTGTCGAGATTGGATCTGGTATGTAACGTGGACGCAAAGACCCTTTGGAAAATATTTTGAAGAAAACACAGTATATCTGAACGAATGAACTGCCATCAATTTTTATAGATTATGTTTACTAAACAACCCTGCTTGGGATGCATACTGTGAACCAGTATATGTTGTAACTTGTAGATCATACCTGTAAAAATGGCGTGTACCCGTCCCCGCGGAAGTAAATTATTATTTTTAACTCTCTATGATAATAAGAAAACTAGGCCAAACCATAGTCAGCTAAGCAATGTTTTCAGAGTTACACTGTCACGCATACAAGAGACTCCGAATGTTCACTAATGCTTTGCGGGGTCTTTGAAATAATGTACTAATCTACTGATGCCAATACTTCGCACGACATATAACAGTGAGGATAGATTTCAGACGGACTTAATCCCACCAATATGAGCGTAGACCTTGCGACGAGACTTCTCAAACTCATGAATCCTACCCCATCATCACTGTATTTATCACTGCAAATTCCAACCGCACGGTTTCGGAAAAAACGACACCGGTGTATTGAATACGGTAGATAGAAGGATCAGCATTCGATATCACAAAGGTGGAACTAAGGTACATCGACTTCTGTAAAGTAAGGCAGTTGTAAATATCGTATTAGCAATCTCCAGCTGGAAGGTATTAAGCCACCAGTGACAGACAATCTCAAAACATGTTTGAATGATTACATTTTCAAGGTCAACGTAAATTTGACATTTTCCTTAGGCTGCAAATGGTTTAGGTGGCGTAACCAGGGTTTCAGCACTGGGATGTTTATTTCCTTTCAATATATTTAAATGGCCTTCAGCAATGATCCTCTGAAATATCATGACAATAATAAGCAAAGGAGAGAAATTTTCGGTCTGTATGATAAGCTAAAACTTCCGTAGGATGTGACTTGATTTCGAATTTGGAAGAACAATAATAGACGACCCACGAAATATTTCAAACTACGCATACAACTTGAAAGGTTTCACTCTAGAACGGTCACCAGTAGAAAAGTACCTAGGTGTCTTATCCCGACGGTGAAAAATGTCTTCAGAGTATTGGTAACTTTGAAACTCATTATATTCCACTTTGATAGAACAGCTTCCAACTTGATCTATAACAGTTGTATTGTATCTCATTTATTATACGGAACTATAAGGCTTTCTGTCTTACTCCAGAAACAGAATATTCTGGAGAGTATTCAAACTCAAACCGGAAATTAGCCTAAAGACTCACATTAAAATCCTATGAGGAACATGTTATATCTCTAAATCTTCGCCTATTATTGAGCAAACCACTAAGAGACAACCTCTTAATGATTTGTAGCATCCTAAAACCGCCTGGGTTTCCTCTAGAATGTCTTCTTAAGCTCAGTCTCCGCACAACTCGTAGGATTAATGTCCAGAAACGACAAGTACGAAACAGTAAAGTGAACTATAGACAGATCTCTTGTTCCTTGAGAGTAGCCAAGTCATAAAACGTGATATTTCCTCAATCACTCAAAAAAGTATATCATACTAGTTTATTGTGATTTTCCTTTTGCTTGCCTTATATACTTAAGTGGGTACCTGGAGGCATTAGTGGATAACTGCTACCATACACATAGGATCAACAGGCAATGGCTACTTATTTATTATTATTATTACTTGTATTTTGACTGTTTAATCTAAAGTTGTACACAAACTCAAGACTATGAAACATTCAGCACTGATTGAAGTCTTAAATTCGCAACCTGTCTAGCATAAAGATGCCACAAGTATTCGGGGTTTGACAACGTTTTTATACGTAACACCTTTATAATCGAAGTATGCCAACCCAGTCAAATCAGAAACCAGAAATGAAGTGGTTAGAAGATACATTTGGAAGGCTATCAATTTGTCGAGAAGCGTTTGGTCCAAGCTGGCTAACAGTTGAAAGGGATGCGAAGCATGACGTACACACTCGTTATCTGGTGCGGACGTGTGATGGAGCACTTTCGGTTAGATGTGTTCAGCAAAATTAATTAGGTCAGCATCAAATCTCGTAGAATTACATATCTGTTAACTTAAGGGATTTATTCACCTCTACTAGTATAAAGAGGTTAGGAAGATATGATATTGATGTGTCATACTGATCACTGTTTCACACACTCTGACAATTAACGGACTTATTTTAGTACCGATTTATACGTAGGGAAGATATCTATTTAGGATAGAATACTAAGGAGCTAGCACTGAAATGCGCTTAAATGTTTTCATGAATCACTAAATTGAGGAACTGTTTACTGGAGGTGATAGTGACGGCACTTTGCGCAAGATCTTCCGAATTAGCGCCTGATATTAACTTCGATTTAGTAGGTACTGAGGAAGAAGTTACTATCCTACTATTTTTAGTAATAACTACCTCAATTTAGCTCGTCTTCAAGAAGAAGATAACAAAATCCATACGTTTCCGGTATCGAGAATGGTCTCTTATCATCCGGATTCAGATCGGAAGAAACATATGGTTAGCTAATTCTCACAAACGAAATTTGAAGTTTCAGTGTTCCAAACTTGCGCGCGTTCGTATCATTGGTTGTTGGCGTGTTTATGAACTATGACAGGGTGGGTTCCCCTATTTCAAGGATGGGTTGTTTCACTGTTACAAGTAGTTTATAACTCAGCGATTTGTATAAAAAGAGTTCTAGTACATTTTTTTGATGAAATTCCTATAAATGTATGTGGAGTTACTGGGAATTAGTTCGTAATCCCATTTTAAATGAAAGGATGATTTAGGTAGTAGTGTTTTTTTGCTTGATAAGGTAGAATTCGAGATAATATTTAGTATTTATTGAATCAATACATTTCCATTACTTTCACGGATGTACTGACCAGATGATATATAGACTCCTGAATGTTGGCCTTCAAGTGTTGTATTTATGTACATAAGTACATTCTAATTTGATGATTCCAGTGACTTGGTTTTCCTAACTATCCGGCCAATAACTTTCGGCCACCAAACTACCTACCATTTACTTCATTTCAACGTGATACCCGGTAAATTTGGTGTCAGATTATGTTGTTATGGCACGTTTATCAATTATTTGATCGTTTTTGTTTATTTATTCGAACACATGAGTATTGGTATAAAAGGACACCAAATACATATGCGCCACACAGTTACGATGAGAATGTGAAGAGATAGAGAATATATTGGGCGTATAAGCAAAAGGAGAACAAAAATTAGTGTGAGTGAAGTAATAATAACGGGAGACGCAGTACAGTTAGCAAAAGTACAACCAAAAAGAATTCTTCCAGTTACAGGCAACGTTCATTTTGTTGTGAAGAAAGTAAAAATAATTTATAGCAGGATCTCCACTGACTTCTGTTCTGAGCCATGTCGGATAGCATCCCAAGCTGTGTTGCACCATCTCTAGGACCCCAACCAGGGAGTCTTAAAGAACCAACAGAAGCCAGTCTTATGCAGCTTTCCTTCATACCGTGTAATACACTGACCATCGCATTTTCCAACCAATCCCAGAGTCGGCAAATAATGCACGACATGGAATTCTCTGGGACGACATTTGTAGAGCATGTCCAAGTCACAGAAGTAGATGTTTCAAGATAGTGACACCAGTTGAATTGTCGTCTCTGCGCCCAAACACACGATGCCGAACCTTTGCATTACTAACGTAGTGTTGTCACCGGATGTCAGCAAACCTTCGGAGACAACGATGATTAAGCGCAGAAAGTCGTCTGACAACCTCAACTAGAAAAGCCAGGTTTCACAAGCATAGAACAAAACTGCTCTCACCAACGCGTTGTAGATCCGGCCCTTTACAGCCAGACTAACGCCACACAGGCACCAAACATGGCTCAGATCAGTATAAGCCGCTCTGGCTTTCATTATACGTGAATTGATGTCATCACTCACGTCACCACCAGCACATATGCAGCTACCCAGATACACGAACATCTCAGCCACTACTATCCACTCACTATTCAGGATGAGGGTCCTCTCAGTCCTGATTATACTCCTAATACTTCTACCACTATGGGATTTGAATCGACAACTGCATCTCTGTGCTAATGTGGTATGGCAACTCGAACTGATGTACGTACGTACGAAGTTCTACGTTGTGACTGACTGACTGACCTCTCAGTTCTGTAGAAGTACTTCAAAGGTGCAAAACACATACCATAACTGCGGATTGCATGGCTTGGGTATCGTCGCACAGTAAGACAACATACTCGACGTCGAAGTCTTTCTCCAGCCAACAGATACTGCTATTACCAACATCCATCGAAGGTGCTTCCAAAAAGTCATCGATAGCAAAGTTGAAGAGGAATGGTGAGATTGGGCAGCCCTATCTAACTCCACTACTCCAGTGGAACAATGGAGGGAGGTGGTTGTGTGCCATCACTCTGCGTGATGTTTGTATATAGGGCTTTTAAGATGTTAATAAACTTCTCAGGCAAACCTTCAATAGGAAATCTCAGAAAACAGTCCTGTCCAACAAATCGAAGGTAGCCCCAATGTCTGAAGTAGTAGTTTGGTTTTTTGTTTAGTCTCATGTTTGACACCGCTTATAACCGCCCACCCGGAGGCGGTAGCCACTTTTAGCCCCCAAATGCCCTGGTACGGTCGAGAGTGGGGAGAGTCCCCTCTCCCTCTCGAAATACTCTCATATGGCCAGCGAATATATAGCCTGTCAGGGAAGTCCTACTCACTGCCTTCTCGTGGCGGGGGTGTTGTTTACGAAAGTGAGAGGACGAAAAGCGAATGTCCGGCGCTTTAACCGGGTTGGTGGACAAGGCGAGTCCACCTAGGGGAGTTGGAAAACCCTGATTCCAAACCAATGGTGCACATGGGCTCCAGTATCCTGATGGAACGAATGGCGTATGAACCTGTCATTGGTCAACGGCTACCATGGGACTGCATCTCCTCACGATGCTCCACTGCCTTGTGGATCAGACATTCAGGTCAAAGGCTCCGGGTGTGGCCCCCTAAGAAAACCACCTGCTTCAGTCTGGGCACCTGGGCAGTATCACAGCCCTCACACAAATCGAATGAGATTTGTGAGGCGCATATTTATCTTGTGCTTCATTGTACCAATATTTATGTGTTTAAATAAATAAATAAATAAATAACACAATTTGATGTCATCTCTACAAATGCACTCTTCCAAATCTGTTAGTATTCCCACTTTTCGGTTCCAGAAATAAAATAGATGACGTGTTAGAAGCACAAGACAAAAAGTAGAGCTAACAGGCCAAATGGTTTTGTTGTGCCGAGTTTGCTTTTAAAATAAGTATCGTCGACCAACTTGTAAACTGTGATATGAATTGGGTTCGTAGGATACTTGATGTGATATTGCATCAATGAAATTGCATCTAAAGTAGCTAGATGTTTAGTATACGGATCATTATATCAATTGTTGTACGTTGGGCCTCTTGATGTGACTATTTTGGTGTTTCAATGTAAGTCGTAACTAGACAGTATAATTACATTCTTTGCTTATACGTAATGTGTTCGACTCATTTATCAGTTAAAACACTGACGGTTTGTACACTTATAAACCACTATTGTGTTACAATTTCTCATATTATTGGCTACAATACGTACCTGTTGGTTTCAAACTTATGTTACCTATCTTTTCGAAACAGTATGTGTTTGTTAACATTAGAAATATGTTTTGTGCAACTCATAAACCTCATTATAAGCAATAAGTACCGGAACTAACAAGTCTTCGCTGCCTCTCAAAGTGAGACTGATTACGTGTCAGTAGCATTTCTATTAAAGTCTAAGGTTAATTTGAAGACCGAGAAATAAATTACAGGAAGTGAGACTAAATGTTAGATTAGGAACGCCTCTCTCAGTAGACTTGAGTATACAACGCTGAAAAGTTCTAGGTCTTTTTGGACCACATTGTAGCTCAATAACTACCGGGTATTTTAGTTATAAATTTTAGCGAGTCTGTCTCTAGACACTATCTAATATTCACTTATCGTTTTGTTTAGTTTTTCAGTTAACAATCTTGAACCATCACGAATGTTCTCCCCTTTGATGATATATTATTTTATTAATAATGGTAGAACTAATTGATGCGTTGTAAGGAAGGACCTTGGGCCGTACTATCCGAATTTCAAATGAAATCTGTAGATGTTTTGGTTAAACCATCTACTGAACCATTGCTTCCACCGAATTTGGCCGGGTTTGTGTGTGGTGGTATTTCGGGAACAGTTTCTCGAACAGTTACGGCGCCTATGGATCGTTTGAAAGTCCTCAGGCAAATGGAAATTCCAGAAATCCTAGGTAAAAACATGGTTTCAAGTGAGTGTTAATAGTTTTACACTTCGTGAATTTTGTCATTTCAAAGTCTTTAAAATCCTTTTATTATTCTTTATTAATAATGGTCTGTGTCGTACCAGTTTTTACATGTTCCTACATACAGTATATTAGTTGAAAAAACCATTGTTTTTGGTTGTCATTTATGGTGTAAACGGTTGTTATGTGTTCTGAAGATATTTGACAATTACCTGTCTGTCTAAAGTTTCATCTATTAGAGTGATATCTAAGATCATTAATCATTGATCCAATTGACTTCGATGGAGTCAATGAAAGTTTTAGGAATATTAACCTTGACTTCCACCTTATGGAAATGACTTTCATTAATTACATATTCTCTTGTTTCTACGTATCCGCCTTTGATCCGCTTGTGTTTGACCGATCTATCCTTTTTATATGCCGTCAAGTTATTTAGTTCTCACAACTTGCGCACTATCATGCCGAATTATTTCATCACTTACAAAGTCTGTTGAGGGTGCTCTAACTCTTATGTAACTTGTAAGATTTGTTCTGCACAATTTCGAGCTTGGTACTTTTCCTACTAATCCTCGGATGTTATATGGTCACCATTTTTACTTCAGTCAGTCACAACGTAGAACTGCGTACGTACGTACATCAGTTCGAATTGCCATACCACATTAGCACAGAGATGCAGTTGTCGATTCAAATCCCATAGTGGTAGAAGTAGTAATAGTATAAGCATTAATGTGAAAGATTAGGGTTTGAAGAAATTATTGAAGGAGTATAGTACAGTGAAATAAATTTGGAAAGAGAAAAATATAAAGACATGAGGAATTCAGAAGATTAGAATTTGGTAGAACACAAAGAGTGGATGCATCTTCGCCATTGCAAACGATTTTGAGCCATGTCATTCAAGGTCTCTAACCATCGGTTGCTGTCATCTCGCGAATCCCAACCAGGTAGTCTACACCTACCAACATGGCCCAGTCCACTTGTCTGTGACTTCATGGATTTGTGCCACGTTTTGATCTGGCCTCCCTTAACTTTCTTCCAACCTACTACACCATAAAACATTGTATGTCGGGCAGTCAGTGGTTAAGCATACGTAACACGCGTCCCAGCCATCTCAACTGATGAATTTTCACTACTTGATTAATGGATTTTCCATCCTTATCTAATACCCATTTCCTAACAACTGCATTACTTGGTGGTTTCAGGATATACGAGCAATGCTTCGAAGACACCTATGATCGAATACTAGCAGCCTGTGAATATCCTTTACTCTTATCGGCCATGTTTCACTGCCATAAAGTAGGACAAAACAAAATGCTGTTCAGTAAACCCGTTTTTTGGTTGGTAGATTGGTATCTCGCCTACGCCATAAATGACGCAAGTTGGCAAAAGCTAGACGAGCCTTCTGTATCCGTGTTGAGATTTCGTCACACATCAGACCACAGGGGCTGATGAGATTCATAAGAGAAGTGAAGCTGTCAACACGCTCAACTACTTCACTCCCTATCATTAGTTCAGGTGCCGATGCAACCCAATCCTGAAGTAACATTTTGCACTTTGAGGGAGAGAATGGCATCCCGAACATGCCTGCATTGTTGCTTATAGTGGTCAGAAGACTGCATTTTGTCAGCGTCTTCACCAAATAAAACTATGTCATCGGAGTATTCTAAGTCAACAAGTGAGTTTCCTGGTGAAAGTTCAACTTCTCTAAATTTGGATGAGGAAACTGTTATTCCTAAAAACACGTCTACGATAAAGCTAAACAAGAATGGAGAGAGTGGACAGCCCTGACGAACACCGCTTGAGATAATCAATTCTGATGACAGTTCGCCATAGGCTCTAACTTGACCAGTTGTGTTCGATTAGATAACCTTTATAAGGTTAATGTACTTCTTTGGTACTCCTTTCAGTGACAAACACTGCCACAGAACCTCACGATCAACAGAGTTAAATGCCGCCTTATAAGATCGAGGAATACTACGATTGTGGGGCGTCTGAATGTGTGTCTTTGTTCTAGGACCTGACATAGAGTGAATATCTGGTTTATACAACCACGTCCTGGTTGAAAACCAGCCTGGTTTTTCCTAGTCTGCTCTTCACAAGCTTTGGTTAGACGTCCAAGTATTATTGAAGCTAATATTTTAGACACTATATTAGTCAAACTGATCCCTCTGTGATTGTCACAAGAGAACTTTTGTCCTTTCTTATAGACTGGCACAATCAGTGATTGGGACCAGTCAGATGGAATTACGTCCAGTTCCCAGATTCTACCTAAGACCTCAGTCAATCTTGTTGCTAGTACTGAACCGCCATCCTTAAAAATCTCAGGGGTAAACCTGTCAGGGCCTGCTGCACTCCCTCGCTTCGGATTTCCTATAGTGTTTTCAACCTCGTAAATAGTTGGAGGACTTGTATTAACGTGCCATTCAAGTTGACTGGAGGTCGTGGGAAACCGAAGTGTGACTGAAGGCCAGTTGAACTGATCCCTAAAGTGTTCTGCCCATCGATCCAATCTCATGGATTAAGAATGAATAGTATGTTCATCTTTTTCTGATATAGCTTCACTGACGGTTGGGTTTCTAATACCGGTTTCTTTAACGAGTCTGAACAGTTGTCTGCTGTTACCTATTGCCGCTGCCTTTTCCATCTCTCTCGCCTTCGCTACCCACCACTGTTTGCGATCATTGGGTAGGCTTCTTATTAGCTTGCGCTTAAGTTGACTCCGCTCTTCGTTATGTCCAGAGCCAGGTGGGATGAGTTTTCGAGCATCTATCAGTGCGGTAGATGCTGCTGAGGTCCAGTGCTTCTCCCAAATCCTATGGTTTACCGTACTAGCAGATATCACTGCTGTTTCCACAGCTTTTCAGATGTCATTCCACGCTACCCCGGGGTGTGGGCACAACTTACATGTCTGTCTAACTGTTTTTTCAGTTGTTCCTGAAATATATTCTTATCTTGGCTATCATTAAGTAGAACCCTTAGAGGCTTCCCTGCAGTGTCTTTCCTACGTCCAGTAAGTCGCAGACAGATACGTGCTCGCACTAGAGCATGATCTGAATCTAAACATGTGCTCCAGAATGAGCGATAATCTTCTATTGATCCCTTTCATCGGTGACTGATAGCGATGTGATCTCGTTGGGACGAATTCGGGGGTCTCCATGTCAAAAGATGTTTTTCCTTGTGCTTAAAGTTAGTATTAGCAAGAAGTAGGCGGTCCTCTGAGCATAGCTGCAGCAGACGATCGCCATTATCTGTTCTCGGAGCCACGACAACATAAAATCCACTCAGATGTCTTTCCCTTTGTTTCCCTTAGTTTGCCTACTTGAGCATTAAAATCACCAGTCATTATTACTACATCAGAGCGCCTAGCTTTTCTGAGAAGGTCGGACAGCTTTCTGTAAAAATCACCTTTTACATCATCTGAACTGCAGTCAGTGGGAGAGTAGGCAGAAAAGACGAAGAGGCAACGATGAGTTTCCCTATTTTTCGGAGTCCTTACTGATCCGTTTAGTCGGACAGCGCATAGACGACTGTCTACTGGGATCCAGTCCAAGAGAGCTAGTTCTGCCGTATGACTTAATGCTATACCTACTCCAGCGAGGCCACAGGAAGCAGCATCCAAGCTTCTAGATACACGAAGCGTGTATGGAGATGGTTCTTTATTTTGATATGGTGAGGTCAAATGAATGACGCTGCTCGGATCTTGTATGCACGATTCGGAGACTCAGCACACATCGATGGTGCGAGATTCTAAAGTTCTAGCTAAGGAAGAAGGCAGGAAGTCCTGCTCACTGCCTTCTCGTGGCGGGGGTGTTGTTTACGAAATTGAGAGGACGAAAAGCGAATGTCCGGCGCTTTAAACGGTTGGTGGACAAGGCGAGTCCACCTAGGGGAGTTGGAAAACCCTGATTCCAAACCAATAGTGCACATGAGCTCCAGTATCCTGAGGGAACAAATGGCGCACGAATCAATCGTTGATCACCGGCTACCATGGGAATGCATCTGCTCACGATGCTCCACTGCCTTGTGGATCAGATCTTTCGGTCAAAGGCTCCGGGTGTGGGCCCCTAAGAAAACCACCTGCTTCAGTTTGGACACCTGGGCAGTATCACTAGTGCCGCGATTCGTTAATCGTTTACTTCGATAACCGTTATAATTCTAATCTTAACGGTGCGTAAAATCAGAAGACAAAGGATAGCAGCAACTACAGTTTATTGTCGAATAACTCAGGTCAGAAAGTTAACAACATCTGAGCGAATATCAACGAGAGAGCGAGTGAATAGGCGAACAAGCGAAGGAAACGAACGAGGCGAATAGCAAGCAATTACATAGGCAATTTATAGTCAGATTTAATAAGGGCACAGCAAAGCAAAACAAAGGCTGATAATAATATTTGCGTGCGTACACATATGGGGAGGGGTATGAGTCATCGAATTATATTTAAGCAGTCAACATTTCGGATAGAGTGTCATGTGCTCTAGTGGTATAGCAGTGCAAAGAATATGCAAATTGTTACTATCCGAATGACGATGTCTGTTAAGTAAGTTAATAAAATGGGCTTAACCAAAATTGTCTATAATCGGAATTGATTATAGGATGGTTGCTATATCACAGCCCTCAAGCAAATCGAATGAGATTTGTATGGCGCATATGTATCTGGTGCTTCCTTGTACCAATATTTATGTGTTTAAATAAAAATAAAAGCTAAGGTAGCCTGTTGTCCTAATTGGCACAATGTTCGGACGTTAAAAGTTCCTATATGTTTTTTTGAACGTGGTTTCAGGTTAAAGGTAACGGAATTAAACCTTGTGTTTAAAAAGGACATTTGTCAGTAATAGTTATTTCCTTCTGTGTACAGCAAAAATCTGTATATTTATTATCAAGGTACTTTCATTTATGATATTTCGTAGGCTTGCGCATAATGATCAAAGAAGGTGGCATTCTGTCATTATGGCGAGGTAATGGGGTGAATATTTTAAAAAACTGCCCTGAAAGTGCTATTCGTTTTGGTCTTCACGGATGGCTTAAGTCAGTAATTTTTCCTAATATCAAAGGACCACTACCTCCAGAAGATCGTTTGTTGGTAGCTAGTCTGTCTGGTGCCGCATCGTTAACAATTACTTATCCAGTTGAGGTAAGTTCGGTCAAAAGTAAATAGCATAATATTTCGATTGGTGGAACGTACACAATGTTACAAAATTAAATTTATTGGTAATTTGTTTGTTAGAAATGATTTGAATGTTTAACCCAATAATCAAGTATTGGCTTATTTAATGGGTTGTGAATTACATTTTTGTGAACATTCTATGCATTAGCTTCGACGTATGACTGAAACCTTATTATTCTACAACCTAGGCAACAAAGGATAAATTTATAAAAGATTCTAGATCTATCGTAGATGAAACATAATAGCATTAATCATAAACTCAATGCAAAAGTTATGAGATAGTGTAACATACTCAGTCAGTCAACATAGTGTCTAATGTAAATGGACATCAGCTTAAGCTCCCATTCCACGTCATCACAGTAAGTTGAAGACAAGGACATAAATACCAAAAGCCAAAATAGTAGTGGTATCACTGGTAGTGAGAAATATTAAATATATGTCATCAGTGAATTCTCTTTTGAAGAGTCGTCTTTGGTAAAATTCCACAATTACAGGAGATACTGTCATGATAATTGTAATAATAAAAGTAATCTAAGTTGTATCATTACTTATCGCCTTAGTAAAGGCAAATATTATTTTTGATACTTTGAACTCGCTTATCCGAAATATACGTCTGATTTTAGATTTTAAAAACTCGAATGGCTCTGCGTAGATCACATGAAACCAATTCCATATTTTCTGTAATCCGAAAACTACATAATGAGGGTGGTTTCCGAGGATTTTATCGAGGCTACAAAATCAGTATGATGAGTTACGTACCGTATTCTGGAATGGAGTTATGCCTTTATGAGGTCAGTTGCCATGCTTTGATTTTCAGTTAGTGAGTTTTATTTTTATTTTTGATCTGCGCTATGTTTTCTGTGCTAATGTAAATTACTTTTCGCCTATTGCGTTTTGGGGCCCTAGTAAATATCTTTCGTACGATTTCCTCTGGTTCGAAAGTTCTGTCGAAATTTTGTTATCACCCATGTAATGTTGGGTCCCGATAAAATGTTAATCTATGCGATGCTGTAAATCAGCACATGAAAATTTTAAGCTACATTTTAAACCTAAGCTGATACAGCGATGAAAGCAAAAAGTATATCAAAAGTGGAGTGGATTTATTGTTATTATTGGTGTCCCAAATAATCATCGCTATTGATATTTTTTAGAAGTCTTCTTCATAGTCAGTTAGAAAATCAATCAGATTTTCAACGTTTCCAAAAATTTTAGATTTGTCTATTTTGGCACAGATGTATTGCAATTAATTTTCCTCCGGAACCCAAAAACCGGACAATAACCGTAAATAGTCAACCAATATTTCAAAAGTTGAGTCCACGAGTTGATCTAAGCCAGTATCCTGATGGAACGAATGGCGGAAGAACCTGTCATTGGTCAACGGCAACCATGGGACTGCATCTCCTCACGATGCTCCACTGCCTTGTGGATCAGACCTTTAGGTCAAAGGCTCGGGGTGTGGTCCCCTAAGAAAACCACCTGCTTCGGTTTGGGCACCCGGGCAGTATCACAGCCCACACACAAATAAATGAAATTATGAACTCTATTGACGATAATATCCCTGCTCATACTAAAAGCAAGACAATTAACATTATTATTATTACCTTTATTATTATTATTATTATTTACCATATCGCTAACTCACCCCCTTTTATCCCCAATTTGTGTAACCTTACTTTTCAACTTATGCAGCAGCTCGCCCATTGTGGAAAATCTGTCCTATCTAAACGATCTCCAGTCACTGTCTGGTTGAAAGTGAATGCTTCCACCGATAATGAATACTGAAGCAGTCTTTCTGAAACCACGTACGCCGTTCAAGCTGGCTTCCTTCAACGTTCGCACACTAATGCATATCAGACAACAGATAGGGCTGGCTATGTCTTTGGAAGGTCTTAATGTTGATGTTTGTTGTCTATCCGAGACCCGTATTCAAGACTCTAGTGAAGTACTACAAATCCGCTCTCCATCTGTCGCCTCGAAAAGCTTGTTCCACGTGCGCTTATCCGGGGACCCTGTGGCATCTTCGTCTGGTCTTGCTGGTGTTGGTGTCGCACTAAGCGCTAGAGCTGAGGCAGCACTAATTGATTGGATCCCCATTAACAGTCGGTTATGTGCTGTTAGATTAGAAAGTTCCATCAAAGTGAGAAGAAATCAGCGTGAGAATCAGTGTCTTTTCGTCATCTCCGCCTATGCCCCGACAGATTGCAGCCCGGATGCAATCAAGGATGAGTTTTACCATCAGTTAACAGTTCTTCTCCAGAAAGCGCGTTCGACAGATATTGTAGTACTAGCCGGAGACTTGAATGCACAGGTCGGGCGTCTAGGCACAGAAGAGAGTCGTCTAGGTGGCCGATGGGGACTTGTTGGTCGCAGGACAGATAACGGGGACCGTTTGCTGCAACTGTGCACAGACCACAACCTGTTTCTGGCTAGCACTAACTTCCGGCACAGTCATCGCCGGTGTGCTACCTGGCGTCCTCCCTCTGCATCCCAAGCCTGGACTCAGATTGATCACATCGCGATCAGCTACCGCTGGCGTGGTTGTGTACAAGACTGCCGCTCCTTTTGGAGTACCTATCTGGAGTCTGATCATGCCCTGGTCTGCGCCAATCTCACCTTACTTTTCAGTGGCCGAAGGATTGACCACCATCAACGGATTGATGTTAGTAAACGGGCTGCAACTTCTGTTGCAAGTAAGTATCGAGCCAAGCTAGCTTCTAGGCTAGCTATCATCCCACCGAAAAGTATAGATGAGCATTGGTTGCACCTTCATAACGCCATGAAAATGGCGAGTAAAGCCGCTTGCGGCTTCGCGAAACGTCCCGCTTACAAGCACTGGGTTTCTTCTTGCTTCTTACAACCGATTGAAGCCCGTCGGTCTACTCCGGGTGACCGTGAGTTTGACCACAAACGAAGGCTGTTACGTAATGAAATTGGGCAAAGCTTGCGTAAGGACCGGGAAGCCTGATGGTCGGAGCGTGCTAATGAGATGGAAGCAGCAGCTGCATCTGGTAACTGCCGGAAGCTCTTCCAACTCATCTGAGCCACTGGCAGCAAGAAGTCTGGTGTGAGTGAAACAATCTACGAGGATGATGGGATGCCAATCACTAACATCTGTCGACGTCTTGGACGATGGGCGGAATTTTTCGAAGGGCAGTCCAACTGGCCTGCTGCTCCGGCAACATCAACCAGCTTGTCCTGCCCCCCATGGCCGGTGACGACTGATCCACCAAACGAGGCGGAAGTCCGCAAGGAACTCCAACTCTTGAAGCGCTACAAATCACCGGGCCCAGATGACTTACCTCCGGCTCTTTTTAAAGATGGTGGTGACTTTCTGGCTAAGGAACTGACTGCGTTGTTTGGAAAGGTTTGGGAGCAAGAAAGTGTTCCAACATCTTGGAATGAGTCAATAGTCGTCCCTATCTTTAAAAAGGGTTCACGTTGTTCCTGCAATAACTACCGGGGGATAAGTCTACTTTCGATTGCGTCCAAACTATTGGCTTCTATCATTCTTCGTAGGTTGTTTAAAACCCGAGAACGATTGACTCGCGAGTAGCAGGCTGGTTTTCGTTCTGGTCGAGGATGCATTGATCACATCTTCACCCTCCGCCAAATGTTAGAACACCGTCATACTTATCGCAGGCCAACAATCGTAGTGTTTCTTGATATCAGGGCGGCCTTCGATTCGTTGGACAGGACTGTTCTCTGTGATTGTCTATTGAAGAAGGGTGTGCCTGAGAAGTTCATTAACATCTTGAAGGCCCTGTATACGAACACCTCAGACAGAGTGAGGGCATACAACCACCTTTCTCCCTTGTTCCATTCGAGCACTGGGGTTAGACAGGGTTGCCCGATCTCACCATTCCTCTTCAACTTTGCCATCGACGACATCCTGGAAACAGCTCTGATGGATGTAAGTAATGGTGGTGTGGATATGTTGCCTGGAGAACGACTTCTCGACCTTGAGTATGCGGATGATATTGTCTTACTGTGCGATAATGCCCAAGGCATGCAATGCGCACTTAATCAGTTGGCAATCAGTGTCCGCAGGTACGGCATGTGCTTTGCACCCTCCAAGTGCAAAGTACTCCTACAAGACTGGCAGGATTCTCATCCTGTACTCACCCTGGATGGTGAGCAGGTTGAAGTAGTTAAGAAGTTCGTGTATCTAGGTAGCTATATAAGTGCTGGTGGTGGCGTGAGTGATGAGATTGATGCACGTATAATGAAAGCCAGAGCGGCTTATGCCAATCTGGGCCATCTTTGGCGCCTTCGTGATGTTAGTCTGGCTGTAAAAGGTCGGATCTACAACGCGTCGGTGAGAGCAGTTTTGCTCTATGCTTGTGAAACCTGGCCTCTCCGAGTTGAGGATGTTAGACGATTCTCTGTGTTCTATCATCGTTGTCTCCGAAGGATTGCTGACATCCAGTGGCAACACCATGTTAGTAATGCAGAGGTTCGGCATCGTGTTTTCGGGCGCGGAGATGATAATTCAATTGGTGTCACCATCTTGAAACACCGACTTCGGTGGCTTGGACATGTTTTACGAATGTCGTCCCAGAGAATTCCACGTCGTGCATTATTTGCCGACCCTGGGACTGGTTGGAAAAAGCGGAGAGGAGGTCAGTGTATGACATGGTGTCGTGGCATGAAAGAGAGCTGCAAAGGGCTAGCTTCCGTTGGTCCTTCACGACTCCCTGGTTGGGGTCCGAGAGATAGTGCAACACAGTGGCTAGAGACGTTATCAGATATGGCTCAGAATAGAAGCCAGTGGCGATCCTGCTGCAACCTTCTTTTACTTTCTACATAAAGAATGGTTCTAACTTTCCTAACTGAAAGAGTCTTCTGGTTGTACATTTCAGCCCGCCTTATCTTTTCATCCCTTCTCTTCCTACTTTCATTATTTTGTGTGGCGCATATGTACCTGGTGCCCTTTTGTACCAATATATATGTGTTTAAATAAATAAATAAATCTAAGCCAGATCACCATTGAAAACCTGGAAGTACTGGAAGGCTGTTTTATTCTAGTATGAGACCCCTCAGCAGTGTACATCCACGATCCCGCATGTGAGACTCAAACCAGGGACCTTCGGTCTCGCTTGCGAACGCTTAACTTTTAGATCACTGAACCGGCTTCCAACGGTGTTAATGTCTAACTCCAATGATCTTGCACAACCCTCGACTCGTGAATTGAACTTTTAACATACTACAATCTCCCCATACTGATAATCAACGAATAGTTTACAACTTTCACAATCAAACAATGTAGTTCGATAGCATTGGAATGCTTTGAAGTAGGAAGTTTGTTTGATCAACAGCAACATCGGTTGATTTCGAATGACGGCTGTTCTTGATTGAATATTAAACCGTAGCAACTTATTTATTAATTAATAGTATTCTATTTATGTGATTATCTATATGAAGTAGAGTATGTTTATTTCTGCGTACTTCCGAATTATAAATACCTAGCTGTTCAGGTTTTTATTGTTTTGACTGATTGATTAGATAATATGGTCTAATTATAGAATAATAATGTTTTCTGTGGAAAAAACGTAATTAACATTGGTAAACCAGAATCGAAAATTTACTTCATATCAGATCCAAAGCCTTATCTACTCGTCTTCTTCAAGCGCCATACCATAAGGTTTTTGAAACAGTATGTTTAGAGTATACTTTTCCATCATTAGAGTTGTTTCTAACTCAGATTTTTCCACGTGTGTTTTATTTTTAGATGCTCAAACAGCGTTATATAGAGTATCGTTATTTTCTCCAACCTAACACAGATCGTACAATGAAGCTTCATATACCAGCTATGGTAACTGTTTCATTGATTTTAGTATCTTGTTGCATCCCAATGATGATTACTTATCCGGCCAACTTACTTCGTACTCGATATCAAGCATCACCATCTCCGTCTGCTGCTCCTATTATCAAATCTTTGTGTTCCATTGTACAGAGAAATGGGTTTAAAGGACTTTATCGTGGATTAAGTGCTAGTTTGTCAAAAACTGTTCCATCTGTTTGTGTTACTTATCTCGTTTTCGAATTTACCTCTGAATTGTTTGGTGTTCCTGGACTTGGTTGTAAGTAACGAATTCGTAAGAGTTGGTGCTCAATTTGTAGAGAAGTCAATTAGATTAATTTATCGTACATCCGTAAATTTGTATCTTGAGTTTTTCTTAAGAAAAATTTTTCAGTTGCATTTGTCTTCTTTTCCTTCGATCAACTAAAAGTTAGGACTGATTCATCTTGTTTTCGATCATGATGTTGACATATTGAAATGTCTTTCAGTAAGTCTTAATCTATTTTCGTAAATGAATATCGATAAACGTTTTTTGTACTTTAACTGTAGTTTTTTTAGAGTGTATTTAATCCGATATGTACTATGGTTTATTTTCCTCTTCATTCATTTTTTTTCGCACCCTATACTCAAATTTGTTTCTAGTTGTATATCAATGAATCGTCGGTGGTTATCAATCGTTCTTATTTTCGTGTGTCGCTATTCACTACAGAAGTTTCTTTCATTTTCCTAACAGCCTGCCAGTTTTTCTCTTCCTTTGTCACTTAAAGTGAACCAGTTGCCTCTGGTTACATAATTTTCTTTACCTTATCAATTTTTTGAGTTTGTGTTGTCTATTCATTTAGAGGATATAAAACAATCAGTATTTTTATCAAACATCGTATCAGTAAAGAAATGGTATTTAGTTTTCCTTTCAATATTTCTACAACAATATTCATATTAGTAATAATAAAAATACCTGTGTATTTTGTTTGGAACAAATGTGTAAATGAAATAATTACCTAGATATTTAAAATTCAGCGCTAATTTTCCATGGTGCTCATTATTAATCGTGCAACGCATTCAGTTTTGGATGGAATATTGTCAATAAGTTAATATATCACTTCCAACTTCTCCAGATATTTAGGTCATAACTTTTTTTTAGAACTTCTTGAAATGCATCTCGAAGCTAGTTAACATGCACTTGCTGTCAAGTGACTTTGTAATATCAATTACTTTCAACAATTCAAAACCACTTCACTTGATGAGATACTTTCAGTCCATAATGGTTGTTCACAATTGCAATAATAATTGACATATAACGTTTCTCCCCCTCTGAATGCAAACTGTTGCTTCAGGACTAGCTTGCGTCAGCACCTGAACTAAAGATAGGAAGTGACGTAGTCGGACGCGTTGACAAATACACTTATCTTGGAAGTCTGATCAGTCCTAATAGGTTGGTGTCTGACGAAATCTTTACATGGATTCAAAAAGCTCGTTTGGTTTTCGCCAACTTACGTCACATATAGCGAAAGCGAGGTATCCGTCTATCAATTAAAGAACGAATATACTGAGTAGCACTTTCTTCTGTTTTACTTTACAGTTGCGAAACGTGGCCGTTAGGAGTAGATAGTACTCGTAAGTTACTAATATTTGGTCACAGATGTCTTTGAAATATTGCTCACATCTTCTGGGATCAGTGGGTGAGTAATAGTGAGGTTAGACGCATGGTATTGGGGAATGATGGTAAATCAGTTGATGAGGTTGTAAATCTTCATCGACTGAGATAATAGTTGGGCCACGTGTTACGCATGCCCAACCACGGTGCCCAGTGCTGACTAGTGTTGTAGACATGGGAGTTAGGGGCGGCCAAACGAAAAGGTGGTATCAGTCCATAATGTCACTAACTTCTAGTTTGAGCTATGTTGGTAGATGCAGGCTACTTGATTTGGATCCGCGTGACTATCGTAACCAGTGGTTAGAGACTGGTTGAAGGCTCAGAATCCATCACAATGGCGTAGGTGTATACGCTCTTTGTCTTCCTCTAAACCGTAAGATTAAAGCTACTTTATATTACTACCATTGAAGTAACTACTATTTCGGCAATGATTCCTAGAAAATACATTCTGAAAGAGTAGTCGGAAGAATGTCTCAGAGCATTTGTATGAGATTCGAGACTTTAGTCAGTAGATGAGATAAAATACTCACAATTTAAAAGTACAAAAATAATTATTACAATAATAACTATTTTTTGATATCCCAATGAGTAGAAAAATGTATTTCTGACCTCTTTTGACTTCACGTAAATCACGAAATGTCAGAAATACAATTTTCTACTCATTGAGATATCACAACAACATATTTATTAACTTTTTGCGCAGTGCTCAATTTATTTGAAACCGTCAAGTCCAATCTTGGCATTATTACCTGTTATATCTTAGTGAAGACATAGGTACGAGTAACTTCCGGGACCTATTAATAGACTATTATTCTATATATATTCTTATTGTATAACTGTTCAGTAACTAGATTATGTATACCTATATTGCTTTTATTATAAGCTTCATTTTGACCTATAGATTATTATACGACTTACTGTCCTTAAGTTATGTCCAGTTTATTAATTACCGTCTCCCACAATCACACACTTTTTAGCTTGATCTTATACAAATGTTATTTCCTATTTTATAGTGTGATGTGGTCCATTTGGTTTGTATATAAACCAGGTATGTTTGAAATAAATGATCCGCATATCAGAAGCTGTAATTGGTATTCTGGACTCAACTGTTAGGGCTAGGCGGACAAAGGACCAGTAAGAACGCTAGGCTGCTCATACTGATCGAACGTCATTGGTTTGGCACAGTGCTAAGATTGGATAAGTCGTATTTCGGTTGTTGAATAAATCATGTGATAAAATCCGGGCATAAATTCACAACAGAGCCCTCAGTTATTACGATAATCAGTTAAATTTATCTTAAACAGTTCCTATAAATAACTGTCTTTAAAAAATTGATTTGTATTAATATTTTCATTGGAACAACTCATCGCTTCTAATAAACATAGTATTAGCCAGTAGACTCAAGTTTCAACCGGTATGTGTTGGGAGATGTGAAATCCATAAGTATAACATTGTGAAAAAAGTAATCTTAAGATTTACATATTGGAGTAAAGTGATTTCCATTCATTAATTAATCTTATATGAATCTCTTTCTTTGATTTCCAGTGCAATGACGATCACTCAGTTTGTTAAACTTTTGTAGTTGGTAATATTTGAATTAATCGATATATCATGGAAAATGCTTCATATTGATCATATTTACGAAGTAATTTACAAACTATTATTTATTTATACATTCATTAATGTTTTCTTTAAGTCTGTGAATAATATCCAAGTACTACTGCTTTGTTCTTTCTGAATTAAATTAGCTATTTGACATAACGACTAAAAAGTGCGATTTAAAGTAGTCAAAGTTTGTAGTACTCTTCAAAGGGTCATATACTATAATAGATTTTAGGTAATTATATTCTAAAATTGATATTTAATATCCCAGTAATTCTTGGCTATCTATCAAAGTTGATACTTTTAAATAACTATGTCGTTTTATTGTCACTGCCTTTTTATCTATTGCACTGGTGTCCGGAGCTGCAATTGATTTTTTCGACCCAGTAAGTTTGGATCAGTGAATTCGTTATAATTTTGAGTTTTTCATACTATCGCCATTCATATCCACTTGCAAATCAGTTATAAGCGCTAAATGTTGTTTTATGTCCTATTAAACCTTACCGAGTTTATCATCATGAATAGTATTAGTAATTCTCTAACTCTATTGACTATCATTGGTCTTTACTGCAATATTCATTCATTATCACTTAACATGACTAAGTTATCTCATTAGGTAGCTGATTTGAACCCTACCCCACGTACATCAGTTTTAGAAGTTGTTTGGAACTGTAGCAGCTTCTACATTATTACACAACTGATTAATTCTAAATCCTGGAGGGGCTCTCCAACCCTGTTAACTAGAGGAAGGAGACGAGATTCAGCAGGAAAAATATGTAATTTCACAAGCAGTTCGGAAAAACGAATAACAAGAACTGAACTCGTGCCTATTATATACAACACAAAAATATCATTGAAAAGCGTCACAAAACAGCGTACTAAAAAAAACGAACCAATGATGTCTGATGTCCCTCCAGGTGGGAATTACAAACTGAAGGTAATAATTAGGGCTTTTGGTGAGAAGATGAGGAATTCGAATTTTCACAGTTAAATTACGAAAGTAAGAAGTTTATCAAGAGATTTTTGGGGATCTGGTATCTCCAACATTAATAAAGTATGTTTTACATAGTACGAATAGTCGATGTCTCTTAATAATTCAGAAATTGCACAGAAATAATTTTATGATAAAAACACATTTTTATGTAGGAGTTTATGGATTTATAAGTACAATTATTAAAACTGAAATGTTTTTTGGAAAGTATATCTATAGTTTTTGGTCATTTCGTTTAACGCCTAAGAAATTAAAACTCGTTAACCAGACACACCTAATCAAGTACATCTCACGTGATTAATAACATTTTCAAACAAGTTCATTTGATAATTTAATATTTTTATTTATACATAACTGTTAGCGGGACATAGATTGGATTAAATGATGTTCCATGCACGATCGCGTTGGTGCAAGCTGGTTAACTAATTCTTATACAATCAGCGCTAGTCGTTTCTTGGAGAAGACTGTGAAATCTTCTCATGCAAAAACCATAAATATACTCACGCTTTTTCTTATTGTGCTTCCTACTTCCATCTAACCTTGTTATTTGGAATATAATTTCTTGTTCAACCGTGTTCTCACTTGGGGACTTGTCGAGAGAATTGGTGTCCACGAACACTAAGCAATGGGAATAGCTGGGTCGTAATAAGAGAAATTATGACAATAAATAAAGGTTTTATCACCAGTGTTTTTTGATTGATTCAAATTGTTTGTTTGATTGAGTGTTCTTATTATTTTGAAGTATAGATTAAGAGGACAAAAATAATAATGAAAACTAAGAATTCACTTTAACCTTCGTATGATAACAAAAGACCAAGATTTATTACGGTATTCATAGCTCAATTCATACAGGCCACTGAGTTATCTTGTGCATTGGTATTATCCTTCAAGTAATCAGCCTAATATAGTCACTTTTAACTGAAATGGAAACAATAAAATATAGAGCACTAAAATTCCATTGAAAAGAATGTTGATTTACGGTATTTAGTTCTTTAATATTTTAATAAACAGTCGAATGGAATTCAATAAATAATTATTATTGTAAGAAAACATAGTGACCTAATAAATTAGTTTACTCAAGTCACAGATCAGATAATTTAGTATGTTTCTCTTATTTCATTGTTTGGCATTATGTGGTGTTTGTATGAACTAATGATTCTTTTGTTCTTGATGTATACCTGATTTTGAATGCTAATTACAATACGTTCGTTTTTACTAACTTAGTTCTGTCTTGTTTAAATTGAGCTATTTCGGGGATTCTTAGTTCGTATAATAATTCGAATACTTTTAATCATCAAACGTTATTTTGCAAATAAGCTTTTTAAACGAATTCTGATTACCTATTGAATTCTTATCAGTTTTATAGTATAGCTTTAGTTGACAGGAAACTTTAGAACGACTATAAGTTTCACGTTAACGTATTTAAAGTCTAATAGATTTTTTCGGACAAACAATAGTTAAAGATCATTTTTGTTTCTATAGGTGGTGAGCTTAAAAGAAAGACTTGGTTTTCTTAAGTCTGATTATTTTCTGAACCACACTGTATTTCACATAAAAAAAGAAGAATGGAAGTAAATTTATTCATTGACATTCTACCATTAATTTTTGAGATTATCATAATAGATCAAGACAACTGTTAGCCAATAGTAGGCTGGTCAGTCATAAATTATTAGTCGGTGTTATTGCGATGTGATTAGCGTTTTTTAACGAGTTAGTTTTCTACGGGATGGAGTTCTTATTGCAATCGCCCATCTGAGCTTATTCTTGTTTCTGGGCAGGTAACTCATTTTGATCTTGTTGGTCATTTTGTAGTGAAAGAGAGCCCAGGCGAGGACAACCAAATGTAGAACACCACACGTAAGCGAACAATTGTTTTCATCAGGCTTTACTCTAATATACATGAATATTTATACGAAAATGTTAAACTAATCATGATGTATTCTATTTCATTGTGATTAATGGCCTTGGTTTAACATTTTCATGTACATTAGAGTAAGACCTAATGACGATTTAATTGAAAACAATTGTTCGCTTATATGTATTTCAATTTTCACAATGACAACCGAATGTATTTTAATACAACAATACAGAATATTTTGGTAAAATCTGAGATCCACCAATTGTCTCATACTTTGTTGTCCCTTAGTTTCCATACCAATCACTCTGTTGTCGTTCTCTTCGATTTTCTCAACCTTCTGTAACCAGGCATTCCACTCTCGATTGGTGATGTATGCTACTTATCCGAACTATTGTAGTTATTCAACGTCGACGTCGTACTTTATTTTATGAAGTATTGCTTTCTCGTGACTGTTATCTAACAAATGATTTCGGTACATCAGTGGGCTGTTCAACTACCCGACGATTTAAAGTCTGTCCGGTTCAGTTGTTGGTCTGATGACATTATCATTTGCGCGAATCGTCAGTTTACACAATCGATCAAATCTGAAAACTGTGAACGACATTGTCGCCCCTATCCCAACACTGACAGC